AGCTAGAATATCTTCTCGTTATATATAAAGAGAGAGTTTCAAACATAAGAGCAATGACTTGAGTTGATAAATTGTTTGATAAAATGTATATTAATGGATTAAAATATATCAATAAAATCATAGTTATAGTTAAGTGGATAAGATATGTAAATATTGGTATGTATTATTCAACTCTGTCATTCCTCATTCGGTGTATTAAGAAAAAAGAGATAGAAAATATATATGTTATAATCATTTCTACTTAATAAATGAATTTCATGGATTGATTGGTCTAACCTCSCAACAACTTGACCTAACTTTAATTAATAAATAATTATAAATATCTATGAATATCTTAATCATTATCATTTATCACACTATATTACAAAAAGAGTAAAGTTGGTTTTATCAATTATGTTGCAATTTTTGCAATATTGTGTGACAACTTGAAATTTATGTATGATAATCTTTGAGGGGTAAATAAAATGGGGAGAACTTTCAATCTCTTTAATCTACATATGAAATATTGAGTTTCCTTTTCTTCTTGAGACAATTTTACAAAATAAGAGATCTCTAAGCAATTTTTCTTCGAGTTGGTTCGGGTTATTGGAGACATTTAGTCCAAAATCTTAAAAAGAGTAGAAAAATATTTGAAGTTTACCTTGTTTCAAACATTGAGTCAAAATTCGTACCTATATGTGATATTTTATTTTAGAAGAAATTAAGTTGTAGATACTGTATTTGGTCTGGCTAAATTTTAATTATTCTTTATTTTTATTTTAAATATTTTTCGTTCAAAAAAAAGAAAAAAAACTAAAGTTTACTTTATTATTGTTTTAAGGTAAAGTTTTATTACATTAAAATTAGATTTATTTAAAAGTTTTGATTTTATTAATAAGAAATTAAAAAATGATTTTGTTTAGATTTTGTTTAAATAAAATTTGATTTTATTAAAAGAATTTTGTTTGTTTTTAAATAAAAAAAAATCTTGTTTTGTTTTTCCTATTTTCCCTCGGGAAACCCACTAACTAACGTCTCTCTTTCCTCTTTTCCACCCTCTTTCCCTTTTTTGTTATTTAATTTTGTTTCTCATTTTTCAACTTTTCTCTAATTCAAACACCTATTTTCTTTTTTCTTTTACTTTTTTTTCCTTCCTTTTTAAGGCGGTTTTAGAAACTTATTTAATCTAAAATTTTCTAATTTTACACTTTTAGATTTCTACCGGTAGGATTTTATTTTAATTCCAATTTTACCCTTATTTATTGCATTTATATTTATTATAATTAGTCTTTTATTTAAATGCAAAATATTAATATTCCAAATTTGATTATTGTAGGACCTAAATCAGTCATTCTCATAATCCCCTAATTTTCTCCTTAATATATTATACTAAAGAAAAATTATTACAAAATATTCAATTATTATGATAATCTCCAAATTTACTCCTTAATATATTCTACTAAATAATGAAATTTATTACAAAATATTTTTTCATTGCATTACAGGCCAAATTTCAATAATATAGTCATTATAACATACACTTATATATATATATATATATATATATATATATATATATATATATATATATATATATTTATATGGAGATATAAACTGTATCCGGCCACCTTTTCATTTATATGAAAATATAAACTATATCCGACTATAAACTCAAGCAACATACACTTAACAATGGTGATATAAACTATAGTCATTATAACATACACTTAGCAATGGTGATATAAACTATAGCCATTATAACATACACTTATATGGAGATATAACCTATATCTGGCTATAAAGTATATACGACTATATCTCTCTACAATTAACAAACAAAGCAAATAACCTACAAACCTTCTGGTCGGCGACTAGATAATGGTCGGGATAAACGGAGGGCTCAAATGGTTGACGAGTAGCCGGCGACAAAAAAGAAACATCGGGATAAATGGACGGAAACAATGGACGGGCGGCCAGAGATGAAGGAGAAGTTAGACGGATTGTTCCAACGACGAAGAAGAACGGCGACGGTGGTCAGAGATGAAGGAACGCAGACGACGGTCGGAGATGAAGGAATGAATGGAAACATAACGATAGAGGAAGAAGAAAAACCGGAGGAATGAGGTTTTCGAATTTTTTCAATAATGAAAGATTTTGGGGATTTGATATTTTTTTACTTTTGGAAAGCCTAATTAAGCAAAATTTAAGGGATTTAAAATGTAACCTCCCAATTAACTAATTTTGGATTTTAAAAATTAATTAATATTGACGTGAGATATTAGTAAATTGGGTTATGGATACTATTTTAAATGGGGTTGTTTCATGACAAAATTACCATTCAATCATTTTATGTAATTATAGTCTTTAAATACACTCTCATTGTACTAATCTCTTTTCTTTCTCTTTCTACCATTCATCTTATTCCTCCATCTTCTTCTTCCTCATTTTCACTCTCAAGCCCCTCTCTTAAGCCCACACCTCTGACGACCTCCACGGCGGCAGCAGTAGACGAACTCCAACGACCCACTCCGACAGCCGCACGACCAACTCCGACAGACGCGGGTGGCCCAACACCTCGGCGGCAACACCTCCCACCACCACAACAACGATCTGACGAGCTCAACAAAACTCCGGCGACCAATATAGCAGATCTGTCCGTCCATATCTGAACCCGTGTAGAGGCTTGAACCCCAGCACCCACAACAACGACCTCCAACGAATGACAGTGACAGATCCGGCAACTTCGAACAGCAACGACTCCCACGCAGCAGGGCCCGACACTAGGAGTTTCCGGTGCATTTTCTAGTACCCCACCCAGCAGCGACATCACAGACCGACGGCGACACTACAGACTCCGGCAACGGGTGACCACCACATGAACTTTGGGGACCTTATGGCTCTTGGTGGGTTATAGAAAGAAGGAAAATTTTATTTTTTAATAAGGAAAATAAAATTATTTGTTTTAAAATAAAAAGATTTATTTATTTATTTATTTTAGAGGTAAATAAAGGACGAGTTTTTATTTTAAGTTTTAAAGAAGGTATTTTTTTTAAAGCTAAAACAATATTTTTTTAATTCAAAATAAATAAGAAGTTATTTTTTTAAAAGATTTAGTTTTAAAAAAAGATTTGTTAAATAAATTTAAAAAAAAGTGAATAAGAGATTTTATAAATAAGTTTGATTATATAAATAAGAGTTTCTTTTAAACCAATTTCAAACTTCAAATAAATAAAAAGTTTTTTTCCTTTTAAATAAAATATTTCGTTCAGAGTTTTTTTTTAAAAAAATTAAGTTTAAAAATAAAAAGCTTATATTTTATAAAAGAAATTTAGGTTGCTACCTAAAGTGTCGGTACATTGGCAATGAACTTAGATATTAATATTCATGATCCAAGTTCAAGTTTTTGCATGCTTGAGACCTTTCAATATTGTTGAGGTCATAAAATTTTTCTAATAGCTTTTGTACCACTCATACCTATTAATTCATATCTTATAACAAAGTGTTGATTAATATAACGTAGGACATTTCAATCAAAACACAAAAATAATTTTCTTTTGGACCAAATAAAATAATAGGATAATTTATGATAAAATATTGTACCATTTTCGAATAGGTGTCATAGGATGCTAACACCTTCCCTACGCTCAGTCGACTCCTGAACCAAAAATATGTTCTTCATAGACTATGTTTTTTAAGGTGACCAATCACACCTCGTAGATGATTGGTGACAACTCCAAACTCTTATCTCGAAAGAGACTCTTCAGGGGATGACGATGACGCTGTAACAGCTTGGCGACTTTACTGAGGACATTAGAGAGTCAAGCCATTACTTTTGTCATTTGTTATCGTATTATATTTCTTTTTGGTTTGCTTAGTTTATTTTATTTTATTTTATGTTGTATTGTTGTATTATTGTAATTATTTAATTGTATTATTATTTTATTTTGCATAATCATGCATCTCACACACATTCACAAGCCTCCTACTCAGACTTTATCTTTTAGGATTAGATCGAAGACTGAGTAGTGTGACCTTCGTGGAATTTCGGTTCTCGTCCAGGCGCATGAAATTCATCACTCAAGTTGACTATATTGCAAAAGCGTATGGAAGATTTGAGTGCCATTTTCCTATACGACGCATTAGAACATAATCTCACACTCATTCAAATTGCATTTTATTTTTGGTGTGTTGTTAGATCATCCATGATCATATTGTTTATTTAAAAAGAAATTAGTGTCAATTTGGAGTTTTAATCATAA